AGAGTTTTGGATGGCTGGCTTCTGGCATTAGGTGATCCCCTGGGTCCTTGCAACTCCAGCCTGATTGCTCTGCCCTCAATTTCCCTTTTATTACAGGAATTTAAAGCTTCTTTAGCATCTTCAAATGACGCAAACTCTATAAATGCATACCCTTTAGATTTGCCATTTTGGTTCTGGGGCACTTTGATAAAAGTTGCCTTCTCAAATACTTCCTGAAGGGTTTCTTCTGTTGCACTGTAGGAAAGATTGCTTAAAACCAGAGTTTTTGATTCACCACTCCAAGTGCTATTCTTTCCACCTCTGTAGTCTTGACTTTGACCTTTCTCTCCAGTGTAGTACAGGGAAATAGATCGCCCTTCAATCTCTGTTCCCTGCTTTTCTTCAAAGGTTTTATCTGCGTCAGCTTCTGTCTTAAATTCAATATAAGCAATCCCTTTACTCTTTCCATCCTTGCTGACTAATCTGATATCCACAGCATCTTCAAACACTTCCTTTAATTCATCCTGAGTGACTTTGTAAGGGAGGTTTTTGGCCAAAAGGGTTCTTGCATCTCTATCTTTCTTACTGTCTTTTCCTTTTGGCTTCTCTAGTTTAATTTCATTGCCAAAGACTTTCAAGCCAGTGAGTTCCAAGGCTTTTTCCAGGTCTTCAGCAGATTCAAAGTCCACATAGCCAAATTTCCTAGTCATACCAATTCTGACATCCACAACGGCAAGATCATTTTTAGCAAAAACATCACTAATACCAGTTTTTAGTTCAGCAGCAGACTTGTTAAAGTTCAGGTTTCCAACAAAGAGATTGAAAGCTGTAGTTGGCTCTGTGGCTTCTACTTTCTGTTTCTTGGCTTCAGGAGCTGCTTTCTGCTTGGCCATTTCTTTCTTTCGTTTTCCAGATGCTTCTTTGACAGGCTCTTCCTCTTCCTCCTCCTCTTCCTCCTCCTCTTCGTCATCCTCATCGTCATCATCCTCTTCATCATCATCATCATCATCATCCTCATCCTCATCATCTTCCTCTTCATCCACAGCCACGCTCTTAGCTTTCACAGGAATAGCCTTTGCAGAAGCTTTCTTACCTTTGGCCAGTGTGGTATCCATGGCTTCCTCCTCAGAGTCATCTTCCTCGTCATCATCATCATCCTCGTCATCTTCCTCTTCATCGTCTTCATCATCCTCGTCCTCTGAGGCAGGAGTAGCAGCTGCTGCTTTTGTCACTGCTGGTTCAAATTCATCCTCTTCCTCCTCATCTTCATCATCATCCTCATCATCCTCATCCTCATCACTGTCATCATCCTCCTCCTCATCACTGTCTTCCTTCTTGGCATTCTTACCGTTCTTCGCCCCCTTTGCTGGGGTGGCAGCTCCCTTCTTACCAGAGGTTGCTACCAATGCCTTCCCTGGTGTGGCTCCCTTCTTGCCAGGAGTCACGACTGCTTTGGCTGGTGTAACTGTCTTCTTAGTTGGTATGGCAGCTGCTTTTTTGCCTAGGGTGACAACTGCTTTCTTGGCAGGTGTGGCAACTGCAGCCTTTTTTGTTGGGGAAACCACCACTTTCTTTGCTGGGGTTGCAGTAGCCTTCTTGCCTTTCTTCTGAGGGATGATAACCTCCTCTCCACTGCTATCATCTTCTTCATCTTCTGACATTTCCTCATCTTCACTATCTTCTTCTACCTCCTTCGGGGGAGGAGCCATTTTCTTGGGGTCCCCTTGATTTTTACCTGCCTGCCGAGTAGCCAGCCTCTTCATCTCTTTACCTCAGCACCCAGTCCAGGTATGCATTCTTAATCTCATGCCCCGCTCATACCTGTCAATGCCTGCAACCAGTCAGTCCATCAGTGAGCACTGAACTCCTCAATGTGCTTTGCCCACTATGATTCATAATAAGAATCTTTTGGGGCTCTGAGGTACAGCTATGATTCTCAACCCTGTCTGCACAGCAGCATTTCTGTATAGTTCTTAAAAATCTAGTCTCCCAGCCCAGACCAATCATATCAGAGACTTTGGGGTGGGACCCAGGCATCAGCACTTTCTTCAGCTCCTGAGATGATTCTAGTGTGTAACCAGGGTTCGGGACCACATGCAGAGCTTTTCCAGTCCTTCCTTGTAGAGTCTGATTCAGAAAGTCTGAGGTAGGGTCTAGAAACTTACCCGTTACGCAAGGACTGCAGGTATTATTTTTTCATCCCGAAAGTTTTCTTTAAAGGACCAGATAGGAAGCCATTCTTTACCTCGGTTTCTAAGTGACTCTATTTGCAGTACTGTGTGTTCTCATCCTACAGAACACTCCACCCAGCAGCCATGGAATATGCATTCTACTCATCACCACATGGAATGTTCTCCAAGATCGACCACATGCTCGGTCATAAATCAAGCATAAACACATTTCATAAGACTGAAATCCTGCCATGTACTTTCTCAGCCCACAGTGAATAAAAATAAATATCAACACCAACAAAGCTACCCCAAAACCCACAAAGACATGGACATCAAACAGCATGACACTGAACAACTCCTGAACTCCCAGGTCAACACAGAAATAAAAGCAGAAATTAAAAGATTTCTGGAAACAAATGCAATTAAAGACACATCTCACCAAAACCTCTGGGATACTATGAAAGCACTACAGTGAGAGGAATTCATTTCTTTACGAACACACATCAAGAAAATGGAAAGATCACGAGTTAACAGCCTAACAAATCACCTAAAGGAGCTGGAAAGACAAGACCTCCAAAACCCTAACTTCAGCAGAAGAATCCAGATCGCCAAAGTAAAAGCTCAAATACAGGATGTAGAAGACAAAAATATTATAGAAAAAAATCAACAAAACAAAAAGCTGGTTCTTTGAAAGGGACTGTATCTTTTTTAAGTCCTTTCAAAAAAATCTTAGACCTTTGAGCTTGCCATACGAGAGTAGACTTTTAAAAAAGTCTACTGTTCTTGGTTCACTGTAGTGGCCAAAGCCATTCACTCACATTTCAAAATAACCCCTAAGAGAGAAAGCACTGTCCCACCTGAGAATCCTTTGGTTGATGCTTATAGCTCAGCTGCAAAGTCCCTGCCAAGCCGACACCTACTTCTGGAGACAGAAAGTTAACTACTTCCATTGATGGTCCTTGAAATCTTTGGTCAGCTCTAGCTAATTGAAAACTGCAAGAAAATGGAAGCCACTCTGCTATTCTCCCTGTGGTCTCTAAGACAACAAGTGGTTTGGCCCAAAGGTGGTCTGAATGTTTGTGCCCCACCATGGGATTAGTGCTCTCCTAAAAGAGACCCTGGGGAGGTCCCTTGCCCCTTCCACCATGTAGGGACACAGGGAGAAGATGCCATCTGTAACTCAGGAAAGGAGTCGTCACCAGACACCACATTGGCTGGTGCCCCAATCTTGGACTTCCCAATCTCTAGAACTATGAGAAATACACTTCCGTTGCTTATAAGCCTCTTAGTCTATAAAATTCTGTTGCAGCCCACACATACCAAGACATACACTTTCTTCCTAATGTTCTCTCAGTGCTGGGGTGCACACTTGTGAGGCAGGAGACAGGCCCTGGGAATAACTCACAATCCCCCCACTTGCTCCAGACCCAAGGTCTCCAGGACACACTGGGGATGTCCCCTTCTTGCCAAGAGGATGGGGCACAAAAGAGATGGCTTCATTCTCATTCATAAGTATTTATGTGTTTAAGTTTCATGATACTTGTCCTCAAATAGGCTTCTAACGGACCCTGAAGGTACCATGAAGGCTCACCTTCAGTTTGAAACACTCAGGATAAGAAATTGCAATGGACTTTTATTAGCAGACAGGCCCTACCTTCCTGCATGTAATCTTAGTCATCTGATTTGTGTGATCCAATTTGCTATGATTTTCTTGCTTCTTTTTTTTTTTCAGAATTGGATTCTTAAAAATGAGCATTTTGTGAATTGGTCATTAGTTTTGCTGGACTTGTATATAATTCTTCTGGAAGTGAATAATTTTCTGTTTTGTTTTGTTTTTGTGTTTAACTGTTGTTGTCTGTTATTTGTCTTTTGGTTTTGATAGTGAAATCTTAGACACATGTACTTTGTTTTACATTTTTAGGTTGTTTCACTTGTTTGCCTAATTATGTTGATACGTATTTGAAAAACACTTGCAACAGATACTCAGGTAAACAAAATGCACAAACCATTCAGGAAGTCACTGTACACAAGAAGGGCAAATTGCAGTGCAGCAAAGAACAAAAATGAAATAAAGGGCTTTGTGAAGATGAGGAAAACTGTTTAGGACAATGCTCAGACTGGAAGCTGTTCCCTTTCCACTCAAAAGCCCAGGTCACCTGAGGCTCACATGACTCTGAGAAGCAGGTATTTCAGAAGCACAGACATGGGGGCCAAATTGGCAGAGAGTGAGGCTCCCAGGATTTGCAGAATTTTAGCCCCAACCATAAACAGGACAAGAAAATGCCCAGAAGAGCTGAGAGTTCCCTCCAACGACCACACCAGCCCTTCGAACCCTAGAATGCACTTGTCTTGTCAGCATTGACCATGATGAGACAGACAGAGCCGCAGATGCAGGTGCTGGCAAAACCAGGACAATGGTGGAACCGGACAGAGACAGAGAGAGAGAGAAGGTAACAGGGAGGGTGGAGGGGGACACCAGGTGCCCAGTAGCCTGTTCTTGACATGCACATCCAATGTGAGCGTATATATGCATGCCCAAGTTGACGGGTTTGGAACCACATCTCATGTGTTCATGCTGTGCTTCCAGGCCTTCTTGAGTTTTCAGTAAGAATTTCTGCATCCTTGGGCCCTTCCTAAGGACGCTGAAGAGAAGCAACTGACGGAAAGTGGGATGAAGACATGTGATTAACGATGACACTGCAATTTGGATGCAAACATCGAGAATGGAATTTTTTTTCACAGAAACAGACCAGATAGGGCTATTTCTGTTTGAGTGGACAGCTTTATTCAAAACCCAGAGTACAGAGGTTCCCTGATGCCGTCCTCTCCTCTTTCTCTGTCTCCTCCCCTTCTCCTCCCAATCTGCTTTTTGTTTATAAAATTCACTTTTCAAACAACTTTATTTTACTATAGAGAGAGGGGCACAAGTCAGGAGAGGCCACACAAGTAGGCTGCATGCAGGTGAAGTTTGGGCCTCCGACTGGTCTTCGCCTCCCCTGGTTCAGAACCAGGTACTCTTTGTGTTGTAACGTCTCTGCTCCCTCCCCTGGCAGTGTTCTACAATGGCTTGTAGCTCCCTACTGCTACCTTGATTAATGCTCAGGTCCCACTTATGAGCGAGAACATGCTGTATTCAGTTCTTTGTTTCAGTGATAGCTCACTAAGTATGATGGTCTCTAACTCCCTTCAATTTGTTGTGAAGTCCATGATTTTGTCCTTCTTTTTGGCTGCGTAATACTCCATCATGTGTATGCACCACATTTTCTTTCTCCAGTTCACTTTCAATGGGCAGCAGGGTGGGTTCCCTGCTTTTGCTATTGTGACTAGTGTGGCAACAAACATGCGTGTGCAGGTATCTTTTTTGTAGAAGGATTTATGTTTCTCCGGGTATGCTCAACTTCACTCAACACCAGAGAAACGCAACTCGAAACCACATTGAGATACCACCTCACTCCAGTCAGGATGGTCATCATTAATAAACCAAAAAACAATAGATGCTGGCACAGGTTTAGAGAAAAGGGAACACTTTTACACTGTTGCTGGGAGTGTAAGCTAGTTCAACCTCTATGGAAAATAGTGTGGCGATTTAGAAAAGAATTAAAAATTGACCTCCCATATGATCCAGCAATTTACCCTCCTGGGAATATCCCTGGAAGATCATTTATGAAATTCTTATAAGCACATGCCCTGGACTGGTGGAGATGGGTGGGCATCAACTGCAAATTTCTGTGGACCCTGAGCTTACCGTCCGCTTACTGTGTAGACTGCCCTGCCAGAGCAGGAAGCAGGGGGCTCTGGACCCAGAGAGAGATAATTACCCTGCCTGTGAAGGAGCCAGGAGGATTCCCAGACATCTTCACAGAGGATAAATTATATGTTCAGTCCAAAGCTGCTGGATTCAAAAGGTAAATCAGAGTTACCTGGGGTAACCCAATGCAAAGCGCTCCTTGAAAGAGATCTCCCACTTCTCAGATGTCAAATGATCCTATTTCAGATTTATCAAAGCGGCAGGGATTAGCAAGGCCATACACCCTTCAGTCCCGGCCCCTTCTCCTCTCCACTGCTGCTTTGTTTGTCTAAATAGTTGTTTTAGTGAGCGAGAAGAAAGAATGAGAGGTAATTAGTGTTTCTTGTAAGGTTCCGTGTTTAGTTTTGTAATCCTTCTGTCAGGTTTATTTTCATGTTAAGCAAAGGAAGTCCCGCTGGAATATTATAATCTCTTCTTAGTGTTAGCAGAAAGCCGTGGTATTTAAATTAATAAAGAATTTTTCAAGAAAACGAAGGCTTTCCTTGAGAGTCTCAGTTTAAAGAGCATGCCTTTCTCAGAGCTCGCCTTGTCTCCATCGTGTTTAAGGCCGGAGATAAGAACCTTTCTAAGAAGCGGGGTGGGTGTTTCGGGCTTGAATGGTATGATCTGCTGACAGTGACGTCTGTGCCCTGGCATTCCGTATCCACAGGACTTTCACTTCCACCCACAGCCTCCTGGGCAGTGGCAGCAGCCTTTGACTTGACTCCCATCTCTAGTTCTGCCCTTTGGAGCAAGGCCTATGACCCCTCACTTGCTTCAAGATCCCAAAGCCCTCAACCCTGCC